CATTTACAGTGGCATACACGTATCTGGTGTGTTAGAATCTACACCTTCCTTTTGGACTGGCTTCTCCCAGGGCTTCCTAGTCAGGCACAGCAAAAACGTTACATTTCATAGTACATCAGAAAATGAGATGCTTTCTCTTTTGTTCTTAAAAAGAAAAAGACGAGCTCAGCTATATAGCTTTCAATGATGTACACTCGGTAGCTGGTTGCTTCACAGCTGGAGCAGCAAAATGCTCTTAGGGCTGATTTTCTGCTGGATCTGTTCCCTGACCTGGAGCATTGTTGGTTCAGATGACTGCCAGCCCTATTGCAGGAAAGGGAATTGCAACTTTCTCTTACTCTCTCCCTTGTTAATAAAATACACCTGGATTGCTAGGACTTCTGTTTTGGTCACTGGGGATTTGGCATGGTGGAGGCTTGCTAACACATTGCTAACCAGATGACACTAAGCAGGTAACAGTGGGAGTAGTCTGACTGATATTCATGATAAATGGGGATTTTGGATGACCTGAACTCCTTGGCATATCTGGGAGTTATGATATGTGCAAAGTATTTTATATTAAAACAATCTGCAGCTGACAACATGTGGATGGTGCATGATATACCACTTGGGATGCTAGAAATGGTACAGTTCTGCCCTTGTTCGTGTTGCAGTGGTCACGAACAGGGTTAGAGTTTCACTTCCTTTCTGTCCTTCTCATTTTTAAAGAGAAATGTGGGCTGAGCACATGCAGTGCTGCTACCATCCGCTTTATCGGTCCTTCTATGCGCATTGAATACATTGCCTTACCTTCCCGTTACAGTTGCTGAGCTTTGATTTGTAGGTAATGATTTTTCATCGCTGTAAAGGTGTTGTCAGTAAATTATTACAAATATATTCATTTGGGATGCAATTGTATGGAAAAAGGAGAATTCAAGAAACGGAGAGCTGAAGGTGAAAAGTTAGGCCTTGAATTCATGTGGATTGGTGAGATTCGTGATCCACTTCCCTGTGGCATGGAGGTGAACAATCACTCCTCAAATTTTACAGCATTAAATTAAAGAGAACTGTGTTAGGAACTTTCCGATATGGGTATAGTTTGATATGATTGTATTTGGAGAGTGTTTTAACTGGATAATCTGGATAATTTGACCCTTTTTTTTTTTTTTTCCTTTTTTGTTTTCCTGCCTGAGGATCTTCTGTTAGGGTTTGTGTGCACGTACTTAAAAAGAATCTCCGTACAAAGCAGATAGAGTTCCCTGTCCCATATTATGAGGCTTTATATCTGGACTCATCTGCCGTTTGCTTCAGTGCCATCTGTAACTCTAGGAGATGAATGTTTGGTGTTTGTACAAGTGACTTTAGAACACTTAAACATAGGACCTTGGTTAGATTGTCCTAGTAGTGTTGAAACAGTTTATAATAAAGCTGTTGTAGACTTGGGTGGCAATGTAAGGCTAAGATAAATGGAAAAAAATAGAATATTTGTCAAAAATGCTACCAAAATGCCTGGAAATGAATCTACGTAAAAGCACCTGGTGAGGGATGTGTCATAGCTGTAAAGTGAGTAGCTTTGGATTTGGAAAGCATCCCCCTCCTTTTGCTCAAAACTAAAACCTCGCTCCCCAAAGCCCTGGCTTAGCTCAGTGCTGCTTTCATGGTGACCACACACTCATACATGCGGAAGTGAAATTGTTGGTAGTGTTCTGTTTGAACACGGTGAACTTCTTCCATCTGTCTCTACAGGAGGGTGGTTTTGAGTCCAGAAATAAAGTAATCTAAAATTTGACATGTAAATTTTTTTCAGCTTCGTTATGTATGCAAATCAGGACTGCAGGATGATTCCCAAAGTAGTCCATGCAACGTGGGGATGACTATTCAAATTACAGCCTTCAGCGGTATCCTCTGTAGATAACAAGTTTGCATCTCTCAGAGTGATGTGTAATTGTGTAATGTCACAAGAGTTCAGCCCGCAGTCTGCCTCGTGCTCTCCTAATCCCAGTGGTTTGTGGCAGCCTGAGAAATCCCAGAGTTCACTAGTGGGGCAGCACACCAGAGAATATCAGCACTGAATACTTCTGTTTTTGTAAACACTCAGGACCGTGCGTACGTGCCGATACCAGCTGAAGCAAGCTGAAGCGTGCTGAGCAGATGCACCTCTTGGGAACTAGCTGTTAGGTGGAAATTCGTGTTCTGAGAAACACTTGTAGGCAGGCGAGCCCTTATTTCTTATGGAGGACTTTATTTCATTAAATGATGAGCCACTGCCTACAAAGGGTTCTATATTTCCTTGCAAGGATAATAATGTCTACTTAGAGGAGTGGTTTATATTAAATATCTGCTACGGAAAACTCATATGAAGCTGTTCCTTTTAATGTGTTAATAGGTTTCCATTTAATGAAGAAGCTGAACAAAGCCACAGTATTTGATGGTATTCGGTATTTGATATACTAACATCAGACAGTTTGTCTTAGAATTTGCCTGTGTCATCTGCATCCCCCAGCTTCCTGCCTCCTCTCTCAGTGCTTCCCTATCCAAAAAAAATAAAAGCCTCCTTGGGAGGTATAATTTCACTCTCTCGTGGTTAAGTATTTTAATTTGTACTTCATTTTCTTTTGCTGCTGTGTTGATGGTAGTGTTGCTGTAATATGCTATAAGGCCTATTCTGATAGATTGATCCAGAAACCAGTTGTAATAAGTGACGTAAAAATTGTTCTTATAATCCATTGTAAAGTGCTCTGCTTTCTATCACATGGTTAACAGAGACTGAGGAATTAGTCCATCTTAGTTGATTCTGAAGCAATTTGGAATTGATTTTGGAGGAATCTCTAGTTGATTTTTGAAGGAATCTCTAATGGAAGCCTGCGGTGCCTATGAGGAAATCATGGGCTGTACATTGCTTGTGGAAAGATTTAATCTTCTGCAGAGAACGAGAAGCTCAGGCAAAATCTTTTTCATTCTGGAGAAAAGTATATACATACATATTTGTTATACAAATATACACAATTATATATTTGACCTGTTTTTCAAAAAAAAAGTGCTTTTATAGCTGGAGATAAGCTGAAATAAGTGCAACTTGCAGCGGTATTGAAGTGAGAATTAGGAAGGAAAAGACTGATGGACAAAATGTCTGTTTGATGATAGCTACTTGTTTCTATAAATTATAATTGTTTTTATTTTTAAAAGCTCTCATACTTTGTAAGGGTCCTTTTGGAACATCAAGTGTATGGTTGAAATATTGCTGCAGTACAAATAGTTTTGCTCTGAGTTCTCACAGCGTTGTCACTGACCATGTTCAAGGACATGATAATTCTGAGTGTATTTGTCTACAATTTGTTTTAGAGTAGTTAAGCATGTTGAGACAGTTGCAGTTGGAAGTTACTGTGTTATTCTCCAGCTGAACTAAAACTTTCCTCTGGTATTTACTTCAGTAATAGAGGACTTTATCCACAAGATATTTTGGTATGAGTCTTAAAAACTTGAAAACCTGAATCTGTCTGAAAAAGACTTGCTTATTCTTTATAATGCTGGACTTTGAGCGTGGCTCTACATGCACGTGTTCTTTGTTTTCTTTCTTTTTATTTTTTTAATGGATAAAGCTTCTGGGTGTTCTGTTCCAAGACTGAGTGACTGTCAACTAGGAGTTGTTTGACTACAGACTAGAAAAACATTTCAATAAACTGCTTCAGTGATTGTTTGTCTTTCTAAATCAAGCAAGTATTCTTTCTAAAACTTGAATCAACAACAAAAAACTTAACAAATTAAAAAAAAAAAACAAAACACAAAACCACACCTGTGCTTCCCCTGCCCCAACCGTATTGTGTCCCAAAGGAATACGAACCACCTGCCCATGAACAAACCTACTTTGCGCTCTCTGTAGAAATGAAAATACTTGTAATATGGGTTCTTGCTAAGGAAGACTGCTTTAAAATGTGGGAGAGCCACCCCAAATACAATTCAGCATAGCCATTTCAGTATTGGAGCTGAAGATCTGGGTAAGCCAGGTGTGTGTCAGGAACAGAATAGGTTTGGCGGAGGATGCTAAGCTTAGATAAGAGAACTAGCAGCTAGGATACCTGCTAGATATCTGCTAGTCTTGTGTAGCCTTATTCTTCCTATATGAATCTCTTAGTGGCAGAGGGGGTCATCGATAGCTTGGAATGGAGAAGATTGACACACACCTGTTAGAGTGAACATCTATTTACAGAAATGGTAACAAACTGCTTTTAAACTCCTATCAGTGCTGTCTGAGAAGATTTTTATTAGTCTGTGGCTGGAGAATTTTCCGGATGGAGTAAGTTAATGAGGGGAGCTGAATGTGCTCGTCTGATTTCTGAACTCATCAGGTGATTAATCCCTCCACAGATGCACAATATTTACTTCCCTGGTGACATGCACCCCAAATTTATGAAAAGTACCCTCTTTGTTTTGTCCTGACCAACTTGGTCTTCGGTTGGTTGGGGTGCACTAGTCTGGCTTTGTTACTAGGCTGCTTGTCAGATGAGAAGCAGGAATGAAGGGGGGGTGAGAAATAAGAAATGTGGTGGTGTGAAGTGAAGGTGGGGTTATGGATAATGCCCTTGGGAGCCCATTTGCCTGTGTGTTGTATGATGGAATGCAGATCTTAAGGTATGTAGGTGATGAAGAGGGGTAGAGTGAAGTAAAGCTCCGAATTTGGTCTGCTGGAGTGGGGGGTGCATTTTTCTGAAGGTGGTTTAAGAGAAGAGAAAGTTTTGCTACTCAGCATACCTGAACCAGAGGGCTGTGCTGTTCTGGAAAAAAGATAGGAAATTAATCACTGCTAGCAGCATGGCTGTTTTACCCCTTAAAAAGTAAAAAAAAGAAAGAGGATTTTTTTAGTAATCCTAGTTTATTTTGCAGAAAGAGGATATATGGCTTCTGTCAAAAAAAACTGCTTTGGAATGAGCACTCAGAGAGAGGTCGATATCGGGGCTATAAACACACTTAGCAGATGTTTTGACGTGGGAGCTTCTCCGTTCTGGGCAGCGAGGTCCTGCCGCTTCCATTTCGCTGTGCTAACAAAGTCTTGGAGCAGTGCAACCGCCTAACCTTGGAGCTGTCCTCAGCTGCCGTTGATGCAGAAAAAGCGAAGTCTGGAGCCGCGCGTGAGCTCCTTTTTTGGCCTTCTCCAGGCGGGAGTGGAAGGCGGCCGCGCTCGGCGGCCCGGGGGATGAGAGGCTGGCGAGGTGGCCATTGGCTGCGGGGCTGGGGAGCTGCTTCCTCGGCTCCTCCCGGCCTCTCCCGCAAGGACAGTCGCCGGTTCACGCCTTAGCATGGAAGAAGGAGCTCATCCGGGGAGGAAAATGCAGCCGGTACGTAACCAGCAGCTGCCCAGCTTCATAACGGCGCGAGTGTGCGGTGGTGCGAGCGGCGCTTTGGCAGCTGCCTCAGAGTGGTGTCTGCTGCCTTGGGCTCATTAGCGAAGGAAAGATCTGGGGGAGAAGTAGTGCTGGAAACAGTTGTGTATGGTGGAAGACATTTTCTGTGTAACTAGAGTTGCTTAAGTGTAGGAACTGGCTTAATCCAGAAGGAAAAGGTGCTTGTGCAATCAGAGGAGTGTACTACCAGATTGGGAGAGTGGATGTGTGTGTGTGTGTGTGTGTTAATTAGAGCCAGCTTTTCTTAATTTGAAAGTTGCCAGCTGTGGCTTTATGAATAATTCTGTACAAGCAGAGCAGGGACGTTTCTCTGAATGGTTCTTGAAATAGTGTACTGATTGCTCCTTTTGACACCCCCCTGTTGTTCGTGTCCCCCCTGTCCCTTCCCCTTCTCCCCCCCCCCAAAAAAAAAAAAAAAAAAAAAAAGAAAAAGAAAAAAGGCAGACAGTGATTTTTGTCCCTGAGGTAAAATGGTCATGGGGGTGTGTTCTTGTAACTTCAGTGGGAAAGCTGTAACCCCCACCCCCCCCCCCCCCCCCAGATTTCTGCAGCGAAGTTTAATGCTGGTGCTATGAGCTATTGCTCTGCTCCTGTATGGATCATCTTTATCACTGCCATTTACCTGCAATGCAGTGTGTAACAGGGTTTACTACTCTACAGTTCCCTGGAAACTAAAATCTATGGGGTGGAATTTTCCTCAGCTATAAAGCTTTAAAGGCCTCTGAATTATTTTATGTAAATTTTATGAGGAGGCCACTGAATTTTCCATTTTCCTCTTGTGGGCATAATAAAAAAGGGTTTCACTTGCACACGTTAGGATGCATCTCATTTACTTGTTTGCTAGGCTCTGTAGTATGGCAACTTCTGTTTTCCTTTGTGGTTCTGCTTTGAACTCAGCACAGAGCTATCTCAGGCATAGACACGTTGGTAGGGACTATTATTTAAACAGGTACTAGTTAAAGCTGACATAAAACCTGAAGGAAATCTCTCAGCTTTTAGAAGGCTCAGCAAAGCTCAGTTTCCTGTGTACTCAGCTAAGAGAGGAAGGGGACAAAATGTGAGTTGAAGTAGCTGCTAGATTTCTCTTAGTGAAACACGACGTTTAAGGAAGTCTTGGGTGGTGTGTTAACATTTTGCACTTATTAAACCATTGTAAGAACAAGATGTGTAATCATTCTGGCTTACGAATTTATGCATATTGTCATCATTTCTGGTTAAATACACTATTATTTAAAATAGTCATTCATTTACAACTACAAGACTTGAAAATTGAGTATGTGCTTTTTCCCTTTAAGAAGAAATGGTATATTCTCTCTCAATTCTCTTTCACTGAGGTGGCTGGTTACAAAGATGTTACTATTTGGGTTACTATATTAGTAAGCACTGCTTCATTCAAAATTGATTCATGTTTGTATTCATTCAGTGTTGTGCCTTAAAACTTAAGAGCCTTTGTTTGGCTGTTGGGCAACTGATTTCAATTCTTTCTAAAATCATAGTAAAAAAAAATAAAAATGAAAGGAGCCATGATTTTTTTTTTTTGAATGAAATTTTGTGCTGTGAGGCAGTGATAAAATGCAACTTTGCAAAATGACTACGAGACTGTTAATATGCAACTTGATCTCTTGTGTTGGATTGGTGACATTATTTGCTAACTTTATCCACAGTGGTAAATTTTCCAGCTCACAGAATTGACATTTGGTTGAACTCAAATGGGCTCATTTTAATTTTCTCTTGTATTTTAGTCATTTCCTGATATAATATTAATCGAGCCATCCTTTTTTCTTGTGTTCATTCTAACCATGTTCTTTGGCAAACAGTGTGGTATAGTTGAAGGCAAGTCGCTGTTGTGACCAACCTTTTTTCTGTGTTTTCTTTTCTTTTTCTTCTCATTTCCTTTTGCGTTATGATTACTAAATGGCCTTGTGTTTTTTGCTATCTGATTTGTCAGGGCCATGGCTTGTCTTGCAGGTTGTGGTGCTCAGCACGACAGTGGCCTGATTAATATCTGCTAGAACCACTGAAATTATTTATACATTAGTTATTTATAATCACCAAATGGTCAATGGTGCAGGAAGGAAAATGTATTAAAATAGCAATATGTTTAGAACTGTTTTTTCCCCAAAATGGTGATTATTTTTAAGTAGCATGTATACATTTTTTTCCTTTACTGTCCTCCACGTATGGTTTCAAAGAAGTACATGTAAAATGCAACTCCTGCAGAGTCTGTTGAAGTCTACTGATGTCTATTGGGCGTATATATCCAAACTGATGCTCTGTATAGCTCCTTGTTTTTTTTTTTTGTAAGTCTTCTAGAAGCGGATTGGTGAGAGTTCAGTATTTACCAGGATAAGCTGAGCAGTTAATTAGAGGATTAGTAGGATAGAAAAACTTCTTTAAATATTCCTAACCTCTCTTGCTGTGGCTGTGGTATTGCCAAAGTCGAGGTGCCAAACTTCCCTTTGTGGCTCAGAATATTGCTGAGACTGGGAGGGGTGGAGGGGTTCCCGTGTACATGTGAGGATAGTTGTGTAAGGCAGTAATCGTATAACCACAGGAAGAATTGAGGGGGGGCAATGATACCCAAAAGCCCTTGAGCTGTACTTGAGTCTTGCCTATAGTGCTTGGGTAAAAGCTACTGCTACGATAATGGGGAAATATATATCTGGAAAACAGCTGTTCCTGTGCAAATGAAAACATGGCACATAGGACCGAGGAGAACCCACTAGTACAGTGTGCTTCCTCTTTTAAAACTGGCATACGTTCTGTTTGCATATTATTACTTGTTTTATTCTTACCTGTGTGTATTTAAAGGGCAGGCCCAGCTAAAAATTGCGTGCCAACAAATGGGACAGGCCCTCGTTCTATTCAGTGCATTTTCACGTGGCTGTCAGGTCGATCCGCTTATTTTAGAGCGGGTGGCACGGCGCTGCTTCGGCAACTTCCGAAGAAACAGTATCCTCGTGGACGTGATGCTGTGCCCAAATGACTTAGTTAAAATGCATTTATAGGCCATTCCCCTAACTCTGCTAGAGCTGTTTAATAGGCTGAATAATACCTCCGCTTACTACTATTCAGAAAGAACTTGGATTTTCACATCCTGTCTGTCCTTCAAGGTGTCAGCAACTGGAGAAGCCTGCCCTCCTCCCCACCATAGGCTCGTCTTACTTGTGATTTAAAAGGGGAATCAATCTGACAGAGAGGTAAAACAATATATTTAGAACTTCCCGAGTGCTGCTGTTAGTCGTTCCTCCAGGTGAACCAGGTCAGAAGCCCTTTACCAAAGGATAATCAGTGCTCTGTAAGGGTGGCAGCGGAAGAGCTGCAGCATAGACCTAGTGCTGGCAGCTGCCACTGATAAAATGATGGTCCTCGAGCTCTTTAGAGAGGAGTCATAGATGGCATTAACAAAAATACTAATTCTCAGGCTTCTTTTCCATATTCGCTTCCAGGGTTGCTGTTACTGGTAGATCTGTCATACAAGGTTAGGATAGACACTGGTCTTGTCTGACTCTTTTTGCCCCTTCCTTCTGAAGTATTACTGCCTATTAGCTTGCAGTTATGGGAGACTGAATGGGTAGATGAGAGGCTATACATATATTCTGTAAATTGGAGATGTTTTATCTCCTGACTACATGGACAATTAAGTGTGCTTAGAAGAGAAATGCAGGTTTCTGAAACAAACTGTATAGGAGCAGCTGTTGTGAAAACATGTAATGAATTACCCTACTGGTTATTAATTATTCTGCACAATTTCAGCAGCAGTGTGACAAAACAAATGTATGTGTGTCTATACACCTCTATATTAAGTCTTTTATATATATATATATGAACACAGATGCACACTTGTGCACACATCTGTAAAACAAGTACAAATTCAGGTTTTATAGTTCCTCTTCAGTTATTTTTAAGTGAGATGTGGTCGAAATAAAGGTTTTAGTTTCTTTTTCCACCTTAAGGTTTATTTTTAAAGCAGTATTGGTATTTTTTTTCTTTGTTTCCTTTTACTTTTTCTTTTATTGTTTTGTTACTGGAACTGTGATAGGTATCATCTGTTTACATCTGAATACAAGTCCAACAAATTGAGGGCTGACAATGCAACAACAACAAAAAAAAACAACACGTGTTTGATGGACTGTGCTTCCTAGGTCTAGATCAACCATTTAAAATTTTTTGCACTGATTTTTAAGTTTATTGGAGACTTTGTGTCGGCATCTGCTGTTGTGTCTTCTTGGAGACAGCATGCGGGTTTGGATGGGTGGTGAAAGGATGAAGAGCAAAATACCCAGAGCAAACCACCCTGTGCAGAGACTCTCCTTTTCTCTTAATCATGGTTGTGTACATCTACAGCTCTCTTGTAAGCAGTTATTCAGTAATGCTGTTCGTCAGTGAGCCCCTCTGGTCTGTCATGTGTATGTGACTGCAGTAAGGTTAGGCGAGCTGCATGGCGAGAAGAGTTTGCACAGGTGACAGTGGAAAGTTTCCTTTACATTTCATATTCGGTGCGTCATATTTGTGCCAGTCCACTAGATGATAACTGACGCATGCTGCAGTTGAGGTTGACAACTTAATCCTTGCAAACTTGACTGTTTTCCTTCGTTTCATGTAATTTAGGATTGATGTTTTCTTAAAAATAGTACTCTTACGAAACATGTGGTGTTGACATTTAAGATTCAGAAAGTGTACTGTACTGAATGAAGGCGGATGTTTGGGAAGGTAGATGAGTAAGGTGTGGGTAATTTTTGGGTGCTTGTTTGTCTGCAATAAAAAGGGATTCATTCTATTTTCCTGGACTGAAAAAAGTCATCTGAAAGTCATCTGAAAATCCAGAGGAGGAATTGTAGCTGGATTCTGCTACCAAAAAGAGTCTTGTCTGGTTCACAGCAGTTGAAAGGGATAAGATTTTTGTGCTGGGGAAAGTTTGGAAGGCTGATGGTGTTGCTGCTTGTGCTGTTTCTTCTTTCCCTCTCAGTTATTTGGTTTCTTTACTGAGAAAAAAACAGAAGTTACATGTTAGAAGTGAGTCTTAAATTTTGCTTTGACTCATCTATGTCAGCTGTTTTGGGGCATCTGTGGCACTACTGTACGTGAAGTTTCATGTGAAATCAATGGTAAACTGCAGAGAAATGCTTGCTGAGATAGTGTCAGCCTCTTTATGTGCCTGAGAAGGGGAAGCTGACTGACTGTAAACAGTCCCACCTTTCTTTGTTTGAACTTTCTTACTTTGTAAAAGGCTTATAAATGAAAAGATAACTGAAATGGGAACAAGTTTTGATTCAACAGCTGAAAGCTTTCTCTCACTTATGCCTTAAACTGACATAGTAGATCTATAATTACTGGAAACCTATGCCCTACAGACTTTATTTTTAGCAAGGAAAAAGCAGTAGTAGCTTGGAATCAGCTTTATAACTTACTTTAACGTACTAGATTTTTTTTTTAATTTGTTTTTACTTGACCTAAGGCAAAAGTATCTTATGACAGCATTTGCTATTGGCATCACAAACGGTTGCATTAAAATGATGCTTTGTGCTTTTCTAAACAAAGGCTATAAACGATACGCTTTCTCATGTATGATATTTGTGGTTGCTAATGGTTTATTCTTGGAAGAGTCATTGCATATGTTGAGTACTTTGAGATAGTGATAGAATGGTTTGCAAGGGCATGCATGCCTCTCTGTAATCTAATCTCAAAAGACGTTACTTTCACATGGTGTGGTTTTGAAGGCTGCTTCTGTACGTACGAAGTTGGCAAAGTACCTCTTACTAAAAGCAAGGGATGATAAATATTAATAGCACGGTGTAAGGGATTCAGCAAGTACAGTTTCAAAACATTACTAGGGCCAAACAGAATCTCGTATTGCGCATGAATTTTCCATGGTGTGTGTGTAACTTTCTTTCAGCACGCAGCAGTCTGTGCAATGACTGGGAGAAAAACTTCGTTGTCTTTTATTGCTAGAAAACTGTCTATCTGGCAAGCTTCCAGGTATCCTAAAAGGGCTTTTAAGGAGGAAGAAAAACAGAAGTTAGGATACTTCAGCTGGCTATATGACTGCAACCATGAAGCTAATTATTGATTAATTAGTTTTTTTTTTTTTGACAGCAGTTTCCCAAATATTAGTGTTTTTTTTTTTTTTTCCCCCACTCTCAAAGTGTAAGACACTTCAATATTATTAATCAGCTAAGTTATCTTTATTTTTATCTCTAGCTTCTGAGTTTTCTAGTAATGTGCTGCCTTTGCCTGCATATCTGATTCTGTAAAGTGGTGTGTACTACAGGCATGTAACTTTCTAATTTTGGGTCACTGAAATTGGAAAGCAGCGATGCTCCACTCCTCCTGGGTAGCATTATGGACTTACCAATGCAGTTAAAAGCTTTGCTGTATGGATTTGGTGCCCCAACAAATTATTAATTTAAGTTTTCTAATGCTGCTTCTAGACCTCTTTTGCTATTAGCTTTATGCATGTTAGCTTCCCCCCCCAAGTTGTGCTGGAAAACACATCTTCAGTAAAGGTAAGAGTTGAGAGTCCCCCTGCAGCAGTTTTTTCCTTACCTCCAGGACAGTGACCAAAGAGCTGGCAGAGGCTGATTACATTATAAAGGCATCTTCTGAAGGGCTCTTTAATCCTGTTTTGGTGTGTAGGAGGCAGGAATGCCCCCTCCCTATGCTGTGATACTTTCTGAACTTCTGTCCACTTCTTTATTAATACGACCTGGTAGCAGTTTCACACAGCTGCCCACCAGATACACCTAAACTCATCTGTAGTGGTCTAGGCCATGAAGGACTTCGGTTTTCTAACATTCATCCACATCTCTGCCCTTGCAGTACAGCAGTGACAAAATGGAGCTACTGTGTAACACCTGCCACTAAAACCCATCCTTAAGGCCACAGAGTCCTCCCTTAGTTTTCATCAAATAGTTCTGCCATGTGCTAGGTGTTATTTTGTATCTTGCTTATTTACATAGTGCCAGCTGCTTTTAGTGTTGTCTGTGGTGTAGCTGCTTTTGTTACAACCTTCCCCCAAATGGGAAGGCAGTTGTTACTGTCTCCATTTTAAACCTCATCTGAAAATATTTATTTTCCTGTATATGCCAGCCATTGGTCATCTTCACATTCTTTAACCTACTTGTCCTACTAGTCAATGATTTGGCTTTTTTTTTTGGTTTTGTTTTTGTGGTGTGTAATACACTGTAGTAGATACCCGTTTTAGAGAGACTGAGGAGCTTTGAGTTTTTTTTTGGGGTAGGGAGAGGGGTTCTTGCTTACAGCTGCTGTACAAGTATGTTGATTTTCATCTTCCTCACTTCGGTGTGAGAAGACAGGCCTGCTCTACACTCAGAGCACTGTGCTGTTGAGTGATTCCAAGACGAGAGTTTTAGTGAATATCACCACTGTTAGGGTTTCCAGTCCCTATAAGACTCCCGATTCAGGGTTATGTTTTATTTTTTATTTTTTTTTTATATCAAAACACCATTATTATAGGTCCCACACTGAGCTACCAAAACGTGGCACTGGGCAGCTTCCAGCAGTGGTGAGCAGCCAGATGCTTTGTGGTGGGCCTGGCTGTCATACAGCCACAAGGAAAGGCGGTTCGGTGAGCTGAGAAATGAAGTCAGTTATTTAAGTAAATAAATGGAAGCAGCTGGCACAGCTCTTTATATCTGATTTCATGATCGATAAATCTGACTAAAGGGTTTGCCTGCAGGAGCTGGAAGAGCAGGGCCAGCATTCTTCGGCAGTTGGCCGGCTACTACAGGTAGTAGAAGTGGTAAAACCCTCCGTGAGGGCAGGCAGCAGCAGTTCAAGGGGAGATCTTGTTCTGCCAGGAGGCTGGATGCTGTGAGCTGTTAAAAGAAAATAAAAACTGCATTCTGAGAAATGCAAGCCATTTGGAGAGGGGCAAATTTCATGTTGCTTTGGTCTCAGTTCTGAGGTGAGAGTATGAGATTTCTCCAGTTCAGTTATTTTGAGTTACTTTGTCAGGTTTGTGCCAAAGGCAGGGTGTAAAGGTGTGTTTTACTGATGTGTTCTGTGTAGTGCTACATGGATTTAGAGAAAGCACTCACGGATAAGAAACTTGTCCTTGAACCTCTACGTATTTCAAATATTGTGCTTTTACAGGATGAGTGGTATGGTTTTGGTAGTAAAGGACTGGAAAAGATCATCTTGCAACTGCCGTTGTCTAACCTTGTACATAAAAAGCATGAATTAGATGGGGTGTGGCTGGTTAACAAGCCTCTTGCTGAAAGCTGAGTGAACAGTTGATTATTTTGATCTTTCCAAAACCATTCCTCTAGAAGAGGCCCTCGAGTTGTGTAGCTTAACTCTTTTGCCACCCCTTTATATATAACCTTTGGTTCATAAAAGCTCCTTATTTGTGCCAGAAAATCCTACGCAGGAATAGTTTCCTAAGCAAACGTGTTCAAGGTCTCTGAATGGGAACTGCTGGAACTGTGAAAAATTTGCTAGTTATTTTAGTGAAGTAGATTTGCTGCTGTTGAGAGCGAAGCTAAAAGAAGATTCCAATCCTGAAACGTACGTCCTGATCCTTGATAAGATGAAATCAAGAGCATTGCAAAAGGAAATTCTGTGGTATTTAGCATATCTGTGGATTTGTTCTCTGGTTTTCCATTACAACTTCATGTTCACTGTTTCTGTTCATTGGCATTAAGTTAAATGGTTTTAGGTTTCTGTAGACAGCATTTGCTCTGAGCCCTTTTTTCAGGCTGTCCGGCTGTTGTGTTTTGTGCCCGTCTCCCTTCCCTCTCTTTATTATGATACTGGCTGGAATTTAAATCTGATGTGAATTTTTGTCCAGCTTTTTGCCTTTTGCCAGGACAGCTGACTCTGTTTTTAAACTTCTAGGAGCATCTCTTAAAGTACAGTGGCAATTATTTGTGTAAATAATGAGTTTTAAATTGTCCTTCCTGATGACTCTAAACAAATAATTAGCTTAATTTGCTTCATTATTTTATGACATGTAGTTTATATAGCCTTAATCATGCTGATGTTTTCACAAGCAGTGAAAGAAGACGCTTTTCTTCAATACAAAGTAATGTTTTCTTGAGGAACTGTATGCGTAGCTTTTCATTTATATTTTCTTTCTCAGTTTTTAAGAGGTGAACTTTTATTAGTTTAGAAAACTTTTGACAGCTTCCAGAACAGCAGAATATCTTCAGGAATTCAGAAAAAATTAGTTTTATTTGGATTTTCTTAACTTAAACTTGTCTCTTGTTCCTTCAGGGTCATGATGAAGAAGCTGTTGTGGATATGGGCAAAATCAGCTCTACTATCAATACAAACTTTGAGAAAGAAGAACTAGAGAGTAAGTTTGTGGGGCTTCTCTGTTTGCTTAACCTGCTTTTTTCCCCCACAGGATAAAATATCTATTTTCCTTCGAGTGCGACCAGTATCACTAAAAAAATCAGAATTTTATGGCCAGCGTGCAATTCTAGGAATTAAAATCAAGGAACTGAAGATGACTTGTGCTGTCTTTGTCACTGCACATGCTAATAACTACTCAATGTTCTTTAAATCTGTCACTGAAAAGAAATCTTTAAAAGATATTTACAAAGCTTTTCTTGGAAAGCTTTGCTTCTAAGACTAACAATCAGAATGTAGCTTTGAAGAAACAATCACTTTCAACAAGTTGTTTCCCAGCATGAATGATGTCAACTTCTTCAAAATTCAGGGAAACAGGGATCATGAGGAAGTTGTTTGTTTTCTTTTCGGAAAACTTCTTGGGACTGTAATCATGTACTTCAAATACTGACTGACTAAGCAGATACGTTGCTTTAGTTCCATGCTGAATCGTACATCCTGTCTACAATTAATGAGAAGTGTTATGGAGTCATTATTTGACCCAGAACCCTGCATTTAGCACATTAAAAAAAAAAAAGAAAAAAAAGGCATTGAGTCGGTTTCATATGCCAAAATCAAAAAGGGATATTTTGTCTATGGTGTAATTCCTTGCTGGCTTGGAAAGGAAGTAGATGGCTTGAAAGTTCATGTATGTCATTTAGTGATGCAAGAGGAAAAAGCTTGAAAAAAAAAAAGAGGAAAAAGTATGCAGGGTAAAAATCTTACTTTCCTGTGCTCTGAAGCTTAATTAACATTTGTGAAATGCTGGAGACTATCAGTAGATAAGGTAAGTAGTATTTCCTGAAACTGCTGACTCTTACTGCTTCAGAACAGCAGAGAGCCCTTATAGCAGCAGTTTCTAGCTGACAAAAGTTGATTTTAGGTTGATGTCTCATTTTCTTATGCTGTATTCTAACAAGGGACAATTTAAAGTGATTAAAGTAATTTGCTGCTCTTGCAGTTATATTCTTGCTCTGTTCCCTTCTCTCTGTTACTGCTTTCTGTCTTGAGCTGACGCTTTGTTTGTCTGACTGTACAACAAGCGTGGTTAAATGTAGTAAGCCATCAGAAGAAGAAACACCCCTGACAAAGGAACATAATGAGAGATCTCACGAATTGAGTACCCTGAACCATTTTGCCACACAGGTGGGTGTCTGCCAGTGCTGAGAGGAGGTATGAGCATAAGGCTGAGAGGTAGAGGTGCGGAGTGCAGTGATGCTAATTCAGATAGGGTTAAGCTGCTGTGAAGCTTTTTCACTGTTTTTGCAGTTCAATCTTCAGTGTAGATTTAAGCTGTCTCCTCCTTCATTTCCTTCTCGTGCGTTTTTCTGGGAGATGAACCAAAACAAGCACGGGTATGTTTTTGCAGGGAGGCAGGGGTTAAGAGGAGGCAGGCATTCAGCTGGAGTAGTTTGTCAGTGAGCTGAGCAGCTGGAATGCCTCAGCACGAGGAGGAATGACATGGGAACGTGCAGCCGGATCACTTCCCCAGTCTTTCATGGCACAGGCGCAGGAATGCCTCAGCCAGTACCCCACTGCAGAGACACAAGGTAGGGATGGAAAGGCAGTGGTTAAGGCTTCTGGAGGCAGTTTTAGCAGTTGTACTGCTGACTGTGAAAATACCCACTGTCTTGTCACCCATGGCCAAGGAATAAATTACAATGAAACTTAAACTTGTGTTTCATGAGCATTCAAGTCAACATGACAGCTACTGAAGGGAGGAACTGAAGAGATTTCATTGTCCTCACCTTGCTGCTAGCCATATAGCCTGCTTCTTTCTTTGGCTACCTCGTGCTCTCTTCAGAGCAAGACGTCATTTTCTAAAGGGAGTGCTGGCTATACAGAGATTAAATGTAGCTAATAAGAAACATCAGACAAAAATGTATTGCAGTAGGATTAACACGTTTCTGAAGCTTCAGGTAGGCACATATTTTAGTATTAGTCAGAATTATTTTTTTTGTAATTACATATATTCTGTAGTTTCTTAATTATCTGTAAGAAAATTGGTCTTTTTTATAGTAGAATGGGGAAAGGGAGGGACAACATGTATTTTGACTTCTTACTTCGGAATGGTTACCAATGATAGAACAAGAACTTTTTCTTTTCCTGTACTGAAGAGAAATGTATGTAAATATAGTCATTTGACTGGTATACTTCTCTGAGATTCACCAAAAGGACTTGTTTAGATTCAGGGTGTCTTAGATGACAAATTATATGATCTTAGAGTCCTGTTTATTATGAGATCACTAATTATAAGTTATGATGATGAGAGTAGGCATGTGGGTTCGGGGGAGGCAGGGAGCTTTGTTTTTAATTCTGGTACTAAAACCTTACAAGGGGGGGAAATGGAATTGTTGTCTGCAAGCAGTAGGAAATTCCAGATAGTATTATTTTTCATTATTGACTTGTGAAAATTTCCTTGTAGGCTTAGGAAGATCTACAGTAGCACTAAGTACTGTAAGTGTTTTAAGAACTGAAGCTGTTTCAGTCCAGTCTTCCAACTTGTTTCTTCTGGTGACTTGAAAAGGAGTTCTAGGAATTTGGAACCCCTCCAGAAGTGTGCGTTGATTCACTTTCAAGGAGAGGCAGCAATCAATTAATTCAGTTCAGCTATGATGTGAAGAATCAAACCTGGAAAGCCAGCAATGACAGGTGATAATTTAACAGCTTTAAAGCATCTACAAACTGATGCTGATCGGTTTGATGCTGCAGAAGGCAAAATTTATTACCAATGCTGGAGCAACATTTTTTGGTGCTCTCAGTACTGGATGACTATTTTTGGGTAATTTTGTGATGGGAATGCCAATGTGATGTCAATGGAAAGCAGACTAGTTGCTAAATACAAAATAAATCTTGGAGTTAGGGCTCTGTTAATGGTTGCAGGGAAGTGTGGTACCTATCCAGAGTGACAGTATTTAGGTTAGAAAGGTTAGAAATAGGCTACTTGTTTTGCAACTCTCCCTGTAAAAGGGAAATAGATAGAAACGGTAAACTACAGTTGTGGGCAGACCGTGTAATAAATTAAGGTACCACTTCTTACCAAAGTTGTAAGGCCATGCTTTGAAATAACAAATGTCAGTTTACAGAAGAGCTAGAAAGTGGAATAACAGCTTAAAATAGCATCTTTAAGAGCACCTAATGTTCTTAGCTTGATGCCAGACACTTTGAGTCTCAACGGATGAGAATAACAGCGGAGTAAGGATGGAATGGAAGTAAGGCAAGAATAGTAATGGCAGAGGTATTATATCCCATATTTCTCTTAAGGACCGTGTTTTAGGTAAGTGCTCTAAAACCTGGGTTGCTATGTTTGGCTTGATATTACTAGGTACTTATCTTTTCAAATTCATAGATGGCTTTTCAGCTTGATTTGTGGATACATTTACTAGATCTAGCTTAGGGTAAAAGAGCTATCTTCTGTTGCTCTTAGCAGACCAGTTGCAGGCATAGCAAAGATAAGGAGTTTACACATAACAGAGGTTTTGTTCTAGAAACAATCTGAGGTTGAGTGTCTGTCTCAGTAGACTAGTTTTCTGTGGCATAAATCCAAGAAGCGTCTTTCAAAACTTAAGATGATTTAGTAGCTGCTCTAACACTATCCTGTGGCAGGTGTAAGTAGTGTTTACTTTTCAAGTGACCCTATTATCTCTGATACCTTGATGGCTTAAAGCAATGTTTTTCCTTTAAGAAAACAGCTGTGCTTTTCTGTTCATCTTAGTTGATAAGGATAGATAATTAAACAATCCTGCACTTTTTCTTCCCTCTAGAAATGAATATATCTAAATGGAAAACTTGCTCTGCAAGTTTTGCAATTGCTGTGAATAATCAGAAATTGTTTCAGCACTATAAAAGGGCTTTGGGGAACAAAGAGAACTTAAATTCCACAACAAGTTACAATGTACTGCTAACTTTTTCATTTGTTTGTTTTTTGGTGTTAGGTTTAAAATTAATCTACCTTTTAGATGCATCTAAACTATGATGGTTCTAAAACCCAGGAGTAGTTCCTGTGAAAACTTTGAAGAGAACACATTGCACAGGGCAGGTGAACAGATGTAATGTAACAGGGCATTGTAGCTGCTGGCCCTTTAAAAACATGCTTAGTATTTACTTTCTCATGTTCCCTAATTATAGGCTGCACTAATTTAGGCAGAACGTGTTTTTTCACGGCTCTCAAACTATGGAATGAACGTTTGAGTCGTTAGAAGACCCCCTAATGGTCTAGAAAAGAACTGTATTTAACTGAAAAGAATTTTGAAATGTTGTTTTAACGAAATTATATCTTTTTATGTGATCAAAAAGTAGAATAAAGCATCATGAAACTACTTCTGAAAATAAAATTAATTTATGATGCTCATCAATGATTCTTGGAGGCCACCTTTCACCCATTGGCTCTAGTGATATCCCTGAGCTGCAAAGTTAATTTAAATCGAACTGAGAGCAAAGTGAAAACATGTCTATTCAGGTACAGTACAGTTGGACATGTTAGGTATGTTCAACATGCTCTGAGTCATATGCAGCAGCAACGAAAATATTCACTTGTACCAGTTAAGCTAGTAGCTGGTACAGAATGAATTATTTTGTCCTTATGGCTCAGAAATGTAATATTTCAGTAGTGTCTGTGCTTAGCTCTTCTGTGTAAGTTACAAAAATCAAGGATGTTTTCCTAATATGACTTTTAATGGAATCTTGTTTAAGTAAACGTTGGAATTAGGTTGCATCACTACACCTCTGTCACCTGTGTGTTGAAACTTACAGTTACACAATATGTTATACTTCTGCCATGGGGTATCTGCATATCCACAGGCAAGTTCCATGTGACTTCTTTTCCTGTTAATTTGTACAGTATTGAGACTGGAGTAATTTTTCTCAATTTATTATATTATTAGTATTGTTCATCGCAAAGTTAAGTGCTTAAATGGTATCAAAACTATTTGCAGGATGGCTTTTGAGAGGGAAATCTGCCAAGCT